GACAGTCTTGGGGAATGAATCTTTAACCTGTTCAGTCTGAGTTTGATTCCAGAAGTTAGTAGAATCGAACTGTTGGAAAAGATACCTCAGGTTTGGTGTCAGGACAAAAATCTTCCACTATTTTTGTGTCATAAAACCAAGGATTTGGTAGCACAATAATGGCAGATGAGGACCCTTGATCCCCACATCTGCACTATGATCAGTTACAATTAATAAAAGTTACCAAATGGACTTTGGAGATGCAGACAGACCTGACCCCTACGGACATGTGAGAAAATACGAAGCAATGCTAGACTTGCTAAGCGCTGCACTGTCTTGACTATAGTTGTCAATGGTTAAGATGAATCCATGGCAGACGGAGAACAGACTCTGGTCAGTTTGTGCTTAACCCCCCCCCGCCTCAAAGCCATCCACAGAGGGGAAATTATACTAAGACAAAGAAAGCATGTCTAAGGACTTTGTCACCAAGAAGGTAGACCATATGAGGGAAAGGCAAAACCTGGAAATTAATTAAGCTAGGCATATTTATCAGGCTTTTCCTTTTGGGTCACCAACCAGCTCCCAAATCATGACACAAAAATTTATTATTAGTTATGAATGCTTGGCTTAGATTAGGCATGATTTTTTTTACTGGCTCTTTTAACTTAAGTTAATCTGTTTCTCTTTATCTTTCTTTTGCCTTTCGGCTTTTTACCTTTGTTCCTTCTGTATATCTTGCTTTCACTGCTTCCCTTGTCTGCTGGCTGGTATCTGCCTGGCTTCTCCCTCGTTCTCGCCTCCTCCTCCTCCTCCTCCTCCTCCTCCTCCTCCTCCTCCTCCTCCTCCTGTTCTCATTACTCCTCTTTTTGAGCCTAGATTTCTCCTCTTCTTTACTCTCTCTGCCTGACAGCCCTGCCCATCCTTTCCCTAACTAGTTATTGGCCATTCAGCTTTTTATTAGACCAATCAGGTGCCTTAGGCAGGCAAGGTGAAACAGATGCAACACATCTTTACATAACTAAACACACATCTTTGCACAATTAAACAAAAGCAGCATAAAAAAGTAACACACCTTTACACAGTTAAATAATATTCCACAGCATAAACAAATCAAAATAACTCAAAGATGCTGCTTTTGCAGAGGGCCCAAATTGTGTTCCCAGCACACTTGCTGGGCCATTCACAATCACTTGTTCCAGCCCAAGAGGATCCAACATTGTTTTGGCCTCTACTGGCATCTGCGCTTACATGTGCATATGCCCACACGTAGACACACATGTATACACATAATTTAAAACAATTCCTTAGAATGGTATAATGAAATTAAAATTCTTTTGTTTGCATAATAACAGTACTATGTAATCGCTTAGTTGCACACACTTACATTCTATTTAATTAAATATTCCCAACTGTGTGAGATATAAATTATAACTGTTATCACTTTCGACATGAGGAAATTATGGCTTGGGAAAGTCATATTATTTTTCCAAGATGTAATCAGAGTTGTAGGGACCTGAGTTAGAGTCCTGACTGTAAATCGGAACTGTAGAATGGCTCTAGTATCCACTGGACCTGGAGTTGCCTTTCCTTTGCTTTTAAATAAATGATTGACCTTTTCAATCCTCAGTTTCCTCTTCTGTAAAATGAGTATAAAATCTTACTTCCCTCAGCTTTTTGGTAAAGGAGATCTTTACTTAGAGAGAAATGCTTCATCCACAGGTAGTGTATGTTTCTAGGAGTATGGATAAAGGAAAAAAGGAGAAACAAAATGGAGTAATGATGGCTTCTTATATGGAAGAATTAAAACAATAGTTCTCACCTGGGCCCAGTGACACAGGATGCCAAAGCAGAAGCAACACAGGCTCAAAGCCAGCCTGGGCCACTTCTCAAGAGATAAACATATGAATTGGCTGGAGAGGTGGCTTAGCAGTTAGGAGCATTGGCTGCTCTTCTGGAGGACCTGGGCTCAATTCTCAGCACCCACAGGGTGGCTCACAAACTGTCTGTAACTCCAGTTCCAGGGGACCTGACACCCTCACACAGACATACATATAGTGAAAACACCAGTGAACATGAAATAAGATAAAATAAACATGAAAATACAACCACAGTGGTTCTTAATGGAACAATGGCATTCCGTCTAGGACAGCCCCTACCCCAGAGAACTGGCTGATCCAAGTATCACCAGTATGGATGTTGAATAATTGTATTAAAACAAGGATTAATCCAGATAATTTTAATGATCCAGGCTTAAAAAAATTGCTTCTCTGGGCAAATAATTTGAAAATAAGGAGACAGTGTATTACCTTTGCAAGAGCAGGACACAAAACATAAATTTTAGAAAATGACCTAACTTATATTGGACACACAGCGCAAATGACAACCTGGAGGCTTTAAGGAGAAAGAACATTTGTCAGTTTTGGTTCAATTTCCTGTGGTGTGAGGGGACAGCTCTCAACACTGCCTCCTAGGGTTTAATTGTGTTTTCATGTGATGACACAGTCCACAGGATGCCTAAGCCGAGTTCCCATAATTCACTGAGTACTTTAGAGCAATCAGAGCTTTTTAGTGTTACCAGTAGAGTATGACTTGATAAAAAAAATTATAGAAATTTTGTCTATGTGGTCAAGAGGATAATTTGGATTTATTGTCATAAAGACTGGAATGCAGTGTGCTCTCGATTTCAGATCAGATTCTGCACTCTTTATGAAGCTTTAGTCTCCTTTAATTTGAATATTTCAAACTAATTATATTTCCCAGATTCCCACACACCAGCCCACTTAGAGGTTATTGATCATGATGAACTAATGTTTTTAGATTTATGATCTGAATAATTTATATCATGCAGCCCACTTTGCATTAGCGGCTTCTGCGAAAGGATAGAGCAAAGCAATCTTGTGCCGGCTTCTATCCATGTTTGAAGAACTTCCTGTATGTGTGTTAAAATCCATCCCCATAGGCCCAGAGATGTCAGGTTTTATAACATGCAGATGTCGAGAGCCTTTGTAAAGGGAGATAGTTTTTAAATGGGAAGCATTATAGAAAGATACATGGATGCAAGGAAAGCCCAGCCTCGTCACTCTGCCTCAGGCTCTGTTCCAGGAAGGATCTAAAGATGCTGGTCACACAGTCAATCAGGGACAGGACGTGTGCTTCTCTGGTCCTACCAGGGTCAGCTTTGTCACCATGGCTGGGGGTGAATATTGGGTATGGCGTCAAAAGAGGGTGGGTTATGGAGACAGGAGGTGTTCATTCATTCGTTCATTCACTCATTCATTCCACATGCACTTACTTATTTCTCTAATTAAAAAAATTCTAAGATATAGCTATCTCAGTACACAGTTTATTGTTCAGCTAGTACATGCCAGGCACCATTTCTGTGTGTGCCAGGGAGCAGTGGTGAAGGAGGAAGAGAGGCAGAGAGGAGAGCCTGGAGCGATGCTGCTCAACTTTACAGGTGGGAGGGAGAGACTATTAATTTTCTGGATTAATGATTAGACAAACGATACGTTAGCCACAAACACAATGGGTTCTGAGTATTATGAATAATTGGGACAGCTGGCACTTGTACAGTCTCGCTCAGTATGAAAAACCCAAGACGCCCTAAAAAATAAACCAAAGGCATGACTCGAGGCTGACAAGCTGCATATATTTAAATATATATCCAATTAGGTGGGAGGTCCCAGGCCTTTAGAAGATGTGGTATCCCATAGCAGGCGGTGGGTATGTCTCTTTTAAGCAAATCAGAGAGGCTGGAATGACAGCCTGGATGTTAAAGAGTCCAGACTGGCACCACCTCCCGAACGCGTCTGTGTATAAGGTGGCTTTATAAAATTAGGTGACGTTTGGTGAGGTGGTCAAGCAGCTATGGTGAAGAACGGGGAGTTGAGGCCACAGGTGAGGGATGCTAGAGGGAAGAAGCCTGGACTGGCCTCCACACAGAGCTGCCCTGGACAGGAAGTGATAGGCATCCCCTGAGGAGAAGGGACGGGAGTCAGGAGGAGTGTCAGGTACTAACCTTCTGTCCTGTCCATAGCTTTGTTGGACTGATTTGCCTGTTGCAAAGTATTTTCCAGGGTTAGAAATGGAAAGAACAGAGATGGTGTCATGGGAATTGCTGTGGGCTTCCTACTGGCCTGGGGTCCCTTTTCAGTGACATAAGATACACCTAAATTAGAAGAAAATAAATATATCTCATTTCTTCTCTTCCCCCACTCCTGGGCCTTTTGTGATGAAATGATCTTTGTGTAACTGCTGGTTGAGGTAAACCATGTTTTAACTGGGCCAAAGGCTGAGGAGTGGGTAATAGTTAAGAAGTTATTGATAATATTGACAATGCTACTAAATTTGAGAGTTACTCCTTAATGTCCCAAATCAGGTCCAGCTACCTATCTTCAATAAGCCAATTAAATGTGGAAAGCAGAAAATGGAGATTTATTCAATGTGGCACCATTGGGAAGAGGAACAAAATGACTCAGTGAGCCCGCAAGTCCATGTTCAGGGTCCTGAAGTAGGATCAAGGTTTAAGAGAGGGCCAAGGATGCCCACATCTAAGCAGTTCTGGCCAAGGTGTGGTCCCACCTGCCACTGACCCATCTTCTGGGCGTCACTCCCATCCCATAAGGTGGGCTGACAAGTTGTTGGAGCTGTGTGGAGTCGAGTTCCTCGTTTCCTTTTTCCAGCTCAAGATCCCTAGGGAATTCCATTTCTTTAGGGTTCATTGTTTTAAAGGTCTGGTGGGTCAAGAGACACAAGTGTCTCTTTAGAGCTGTGGTTGTCAACCTTCCTAACGCTGTGACCCTTTAATACAGTTCCTCATGTTGTGGTGACCCAAAACCATAACACTATTTCATTGTTACTTCCTAACTGTAATTTTGCTACTCCTATGAATTGTAATGGAAATGTTTGCATGACATCTGATATGCAGCTCCCAAAGAGGTTGAGGCCCACAGGTCTCAACCCACTGCTTTAGAAGCACTTCATTTCTGCCAGACTAGTTACAATGGTTCTTTCTGCTTCAGATTGGAGAAGAAAAATGATAAACAAGGCCACAAAACAAAAAGAAACTTATGGGGAAAAAAGACAAAAAGGACAGTGTATGTGTTGGGGCACACATACTGAAAAGCTAAAATGAAGAACAGATGTCTGTGAGTAGACACGATTTGTTTGTTTGTTTTAAAACTTTGCAAAGCATGTGGCATGAGGAAGATGGCAAGAGGCACAAAAATAAACAGCAGCAATTTAAGATCATAATCACAGGAGCCAAAATAAGAGGTGAATTTGGCAAAAGACCCAGCTAACTTTAGAGGCAGTTCCTTCAGACACTTCCTTTAAATCTTTCAGAACCTAATGAGGTCCTAAATGTCTGTGTCTTAAATATACAGAGGCACGTTTCACTGGTGTGCATTTTCCTGTGGAGAGAGCTGAGACTTGGAGATGTGTTCTGTGGCTGTCTCTGGGAGGACAGCTTCTAGTACATTTTAGTTTTATTTGGCTGTTAAAGCTCAGGCGAGCTGTAAGCAGATAGAAATTGGTCTACAGAAATAACATGGCTTCCTGGAACTTAAGGGGAAGGAAATGGGTGGTTTCTTTAATTACTATAGCATTTATTTGTGTATGTGTTATAACAAAAATAGACGTTTGCTTAATGTCCTCAGGAGGGACGGTAAATCTGGAAGAGAATGAATTCTGATACTCTGTACAGTTGTGTTGAATGTACTTGGTTAGGACATTGCTCTTTGTTTGCAGTATCCTGGTTAGATCAGGGTGGGCTGAAATTTGTTCCCTGATATTTAATCAGTTGAAATCCAAGGGCATTATTATTTACATATGGAAAGCGGATGTGTTTAAAGTAGGCAAGAAGGCTTATTTGTAACAAAGACATGATGGAGGATGGCAAGATGAGTGTTGGTAGGAACTTAATTAATTGATTTGCTAATTATTCTTTTCTGCTAGGTGTGGAGGCACTTTTCCTAATGAGCAGCAGAAACGAGAACCGTGGAGAGCAACTTTAACACAGTCATAAGCAAGGGTCTCCTGACCATTTTCGGGTGTTTTGGGTTCCTTTTATAATGAAATTGTGGACTTGGTGAAGTAGAAGGACTAAATATCTTCCTATATGTGTGTTTATTTATCAGTTGATGTTACTTAACTCAAGTCTGGACTGAATACATTTAATGGAATTGGCAAGAAGCTAGATGACATCTGGGTTTAAAAAAATCAAAACGTTTCTACTAGAAAGGGTGGGGGCGGGGAGTCAAGAGGAGGCTTCTTGGTTAAGAGCATTTCCTGCTCTACAGAGGACCCAGGTTTGTCAGTCAGCTCTCAACCTCCTGTACCTCAGAACTAGGGCATCTGATGTTTCTCTGGCTTCCAAGGGCACCTACACTCATGTGCACACACACACACACACACACACACACACACACACACCTGAACACCCTCATGCCCACACCCATATATACACATATACATACCACATGCTCAGGAACAAACACACAAAGACATCAGTAACAGACAGATCCCTGCTCGTTGGTCTGGAAGCTTCACCCATTTTGTTCTGCTGGCCCATGCACTTGAAATTCTTCTGTATTTGGAAGTCATGAAACAGAATAAAATCTTAAAACCTTCAGGAGGTTCCATGCCCACATTATAAGCACAGAGTCATTTTTACTTCCATGCATTCCCGCTCATGATCCTGCCTGGAATCTTTGTTCTATCCAGGGTGTGTCTCCTTTGCAGTTTCCTCCACAGCTAGATTCCCTCCTGACACCAAGGTCTAATTCAGGCTGTGGCCCAGAATGACATCTCTTATCCCACCCCAAAGTGTACATCTCCTCCCCATCTCAGTTTAATCCGCTTCCCTGCCTGAGTGTAGGCGGGGTGACGGTACTCAGTAGACAGATCACGCTGAAGGAGACACACACCATGCTGAAGGAACCAGCCTGGCATGAATGTTCACTATTGAATAGCATCCCCACTCTACAGAGGGTGGAGCAAAAGCTTAGAGAATCCCAGTGTCCTCAGTTACCAAGTGGCACAAAGCCATAATAGGAATCTGGGTCTTTCAGGTCACTCTGGATTGTATCTAGAGTGCCATGAATTGTTTCTTCACAGCTGCATATACTAAGTCCCAATTCGCTAACCAGATGGTCTTTTGCTAGAAGGCAGAGTCTTGTCTTCTAGTCCCCACAGAGCATGCCCTAAATAGTTATAGCCTTCTGTTGAAAAGAATCATAATGTAACACCTTAAAGGATTCTGTGAGTATTTTCAACATTGGAAGAAAGAATCCGAGGAGATGGATTTCTCAAAATGACTGTGAACTCCACAAGATGCTGCAGCCCAGATTATGTGGTCAGAGGACCCTCACGGGGGTCTGCCAGCAGAGAAGGGGCTCCTGGGCTGTTACCATACTGGAGGTATGCAGAAGGTGACGGACAGGAACATCTGCCACCATGTAGGACACAGATGGACTGGCCTTACAAAATTGTCAGATCTCAAATGTCATTTGGACCCCAGATGAGAAGAAGGTCTTGGATTAGCACCCCACTGAAGGGAAATGGGGACCCAGAAGCCAGATTGGTTTCCATCTCAGATCTAGCTTTTACTAGTGCTGTAACCCTTATCCTGAGAACTACACGCCTGCCACATAATAAAGGCCCAATAATGTCAGGTCTTTCTCACCAGCACCCAGAAAGTATCCTCCATGGAGCTGGGGAGATGTGCCCATCAGTAAAGTATTCTCAAGAATGAAGACATCTCCAGAGCCCTTATTTACAAAAAGTGTCCCTCATAGCAAGGCAGGATTTTTTTGAGGAGCTACAGAGTTTACTTGACCAATAGCAACAGCATAAAAATGAGGGTGCCATCTTAGCCTCGGGAATCTTGTTAAAGTGTAACTTCTGACTGGAGGGAATAAGGGGTGTAAGGGTTTGTGTTTCTGACAACTCATGGTGCTGGTGCTGCTGTCTGTGGGGCATATGGTAAGCAGCAGGGCTCTAAAGTGCCTTGGAGAAAAGGAAGACTCAATAAATCAAATAACCTCACAATCAGTGCATAGCTACTTCCAGCCAGAAGCTGTGGAGCTGGAATAATGGAGACTGGATATAGGAATAGAGATGCTTGGATTTATTACAGAATGAGTTTCCTTATTCTTTGCTGTTCCTACCCCCTCACCCCTGTGTGTGTGTGTGTGAGAGAGAGAGAGAGAGAGAGAGACAGAGAGAGAGAGAGAGAGAGAGAGAGAGAGAGAGAGAGAGAGAGAGAGAGAGAGAGAGAGAGAGAGAGAGGCAGGCAGGCAGACCGGCAGACAGACAAACAAACAGATACAGAAAACATATTTCCTATATATAACTATATTTATTGTGTGCATTTGTTCATGAGACAAAAGGACACTTTCCACCCCAAAACCATTTCAGAGGAGATGCTCTAATTAAGCAAAGGAAAATCTGGGCTGCCATGTTGGGATGTAAGGATGAGTGAGAGCTGTGTATTTCAGAACCCAGGGCACTATGTGTTTGGGTGTCCCTGTACATGTGCCATTGCACATGGGCATATGTGAATTAGAAAGTGTATCTGCCTTTCACTAGCCAATTGCTTTCTTCAGTCTCCCTGGAGGAGAGAGCTAATATTCTCATCCATGAAGATTAAGGTTCTAAGGGCCAGGTTCCTAAGGCCCTGGGCTGGGGACTTCGCATATTATAGACAGAAGATGTTATTTGAATATAGTTATTGAGAGAGGAGACCACCTATCATCCACTTAAAATACTTCCTGGCAACATAGTAGTGTTGTATGGATGCCAAAGCAATCAGCTCTGCATTTGGCCAGCCAAAGTTGCTAGAAAGCTTGCAAATTATACATATGGTGTGATTTGGTTTGTTGGTGGTTTAAAACATGGCATGCTTGACCCGGGGCTGGATTTTCTGCCTCATAGACCAAGCTCTAGTCAGTTTTCCTCAGTCTCCATAGAAGTTGAGGACAAGGAACTGACCTTCTTGTGACCTTATGCCGAGTGTTTTCCTTTGAAACCACTTACACAATGAAATAAGTTGGTGGTAAGCTTGACCAGGGGGAGCTCCAGAAACTTCTTGAGTCTCTTTGCTCATGAGTTGCTTAAGCCGCAGTTTTCCATGGTTCAGGATTGCCTGTCTGGTGCTCTGCCTGGTGTCTGAGGAGGAACCAGAATTTAGGAGGGATGGTGAGAGGGGTCTGCCAGAGTGAAGTGTAAATCCTGGAGAGGTTGTGACAAGGGTTGGTGCCAGAATGTGTAGAGAGAGAACAGCTGGAGGCTGTGGCTCTCTCGCTAAGAGGATAATTCTAAAATTGTCCCTTAGAAGCTGTCAGAAAATTCAAGCTATTTGTCAATTGCACGGACCCCATTCCTGCTCAGGCCCTTGCAACAGAGGCTGGCCCTGACCTTTGTCACTGACTGTGTGCATGCCTGTGTTCTAGGTTTCTATCTGAATCATCACCTTCGTGTGTCAATCTCAGTGACCTTTTGGTTGTGCTTATTTTGGCTTTATGCAAGTGGCATTTTTGGATGCATGAATGAAGCAGATAAAATTCCCCAGGGTGACTGATCTGTCCTTCATCTATTTTTAGTAGTGCAAGAATTTACCATAGCCCACAGTATAATTCAATCACTGGAAGTAGAGAGCAAATTCTGAGGCTCTCCTGCTCCTTAACTCCCACCCCCAGGCATTTGGTGTAGGCTAAGCTTAAAGGCATGTGAGTCAATCACTGATTATTTAAGGTATGTCATACTCAGGCTTCTATAACCATCAGAGTGTCACTGTCACACAGACAGTCATCTCTGGTCAGCACAGAGTGGTGGGCTCTCTCTCTCTCTCTCTCTCTCTCTCTCTCTCTCTCTCTCTCTCTCCCTCTCTGTGCGCGCGTGTGTGTATAGCAATACAGAAAAGCAGCAGGAAAGAATCTAGGACCTACTATAGGCATTCCCTGTCAGTCAAGGAATCTTACTTAGGAGAACCCTTGGCTTGAAGCTTATTGTTTCTGGGTGAAATGAGTTGCCTTGTCCTTTTTTCCATCACTGGAGGACACAGCACAGTGTAAAGCAGAGGACATGGCTTTCCTGTTTGTGGAAGGCATAGAGTGAAGTTCTTCATCTTTGATGGTCTTGTTGGTTGCAACTGACGAAAGTAAGAAAGGATTAATTTTGGCTCACAATGTGAGGGTTCACTTGCTCATGGTGGAGACATCACTGTGGAGGGACCAGAAGACATCTTGCCATATTGTTTCCACAGTCAGAAAACAGAGAGATGAGTGTTGTTTCTTCTTTTTGGGAAGTTCAGGATGTTCAGTTCATCCCATGTAAGGAGTGGCCCACATTTATATACATGCTCAGAGGTTGGTTTCCATGCAGCATCCAAATCCAGCCAAGTTGGCAGTTAAGCTTAACAGTCTTAATAGGAATACACAGTTATCAAACATCTACCATTTGTCTACACAAGCCCTTCTAAGCTCTTTTCTCTTGGGGTCCTTCCCTGGTAAGGATGTTGACTCTGCTTTCCTATATGTAGATTCTCCCATTTCCTTTAACTTAGCAGGGTCAGGACTTCTTCCAGGAAACCAGCCTTCTCACTCCTGAATATCACTAGCTTTCCTTAGCTTCTTTCCTTCGGGGTTGTGGTAGTTTGAGTGTATTTTGCCCCCATAATCTCACAGGGAGTGACACTATAGGGAGGCGTGGCTTTGTTGGAGTAGGTATGGCCTTGTTGGAGGAAGTGTGTCACTGTGGGGGTGGGCTTTGAGGTCTCCTAAACCACCCAGTGTCTCAGTGGATATCCTGTTGACTGCAGGGCTTTCAGCTACTCCTTCAGCACCACGTCTGCTCTCTGTTCTGATAATGGACTGAATCTCAGAAGGGTTAGGGACAAAGTTGTACTGTGTGGTGACCTGTGATGGCTTTATGATGTGTCCACTTGGCTAGGCTGAAGTACATCCTCCAGGATTCTGGGGGGAGTTCGCTGTCAGGGTGGTCTACAGGGAGACCCTAGCAATTCTTAATTATTTAATCAAACTCAACCCCAGGGGCAGCATTGAAGGGGTTTTTGAGGCTGTAATGTCCCTGATCAGTTAAATTTAAGTTAGTAAAAAAAGGCTAGTATTCTGGCTGGAGATGCAGCTCAGTTGGTAGAGTACATGGATTCAGTCCCCAGCACCACAAATGCCATGTTTGGTGATGCATGCCTGTAATCTGGGCATTCTCAAAGTGCAGAAACATAGACCCTGCTTTCAACTGGTTACAGTTGTAAGCATTTCAACAGATCAGATAGGATGAACAGTGATGGAAAGGTATTCTGGCATTTGGGAGTCGCAGAATACTGGGTGTCACAGCTTAGATAGAAAGGTATTCTGGCACTCGGGAGCCAAGGAATACCACAGGTCACAGTAAGCATAGCAGCTTACAGCCTTGCTTCAGGGAAAGGCTTCCTCAGTGTATCAGCTCTGCTCTGGCAGGAGAGGACTTTCTGGCTGGGGATATTTTCCCAGTGTAGCGGTTTTGCTCCATCAGGAGAGGGTTTCCGGGGCAAAGTTGTTATAGTTCAGCTCAGGTCCCAAAAGAGTAGAGACTGGAGTTTGCCAGAGGAAGGTTTCCCTGGCTCTGC